TTACTCTTCGCTACTAATTATCACCCATCAGATATTTTATTTTCCTTCCCTGATTTGTTTCGTCTAATCAACGTTTTTCCTGTTGCCATTGCTATCATTATTATCCATCTCAATATACACTTGGTTTTCTTATTATGTCTGCATAAGTACTATTAACTATCTTGTTTTCAATGACGTAATCGACGCTCAGTCGATCCAGTTCTCAACCCTGTGTCAACATTATTATTGTTATTATGATTATTTTCCTACCTGAAATCCACTATTATCCAAACTCAGGTAACCTATCCCCGACCCATTCAGTTTTGAATATCCATTTCTATTCTTTGCATTACCATTTAACCCGTAGAAACTGTTCACCTCTATGTTGTTACACCTCAATCTATCTCAGTCTACGTTATATATGTATGTTCTTTTCCATTGCTTAACGGTATATGTAATCAATTATGTAGAGTATGCAGCTGATGAGTACTACTGATATTTATGAATTCACTAAATCCTGTTTTTTTTTTCACACTTGTTGCTTGTTTTAAATTCTTTCTATCTTTTTGCTGTTGTTATTGTCGTCATGACTATCTTCATATTCTTGCATAAAGACTATATCATTACCATTAATACGACTTGTTACTGAATCTAATCTTCGCCTCCCCATTATTTTACGATTTAGAATGCACTCACTCCAGTTCTATGACTGCTTACCTCACATTCACAACATATCTATTAATGATGATAATAACAATAATTATCAGTGACTGACTGACAAAATCAATGTACAATCTCGCCCACAAGTGCATTGGCATAGGTTGTCACACTTCACAGTAGTGCATAGAGAACAGAGTGATATCCAAGTAGACAAAATCATATTAGAGAATAAATAATTTGAAGATGACGGTTAGTGTTTTAGGAAGCGTCAAGGAGTGAATACATCTCCTCCACTATCCATATTAACAAGAGTTCTCAACTATTGATTCCTATCGCCTCAGGGACTCCAGTCAGGCAGTCTACATCTCACCACAGGACCCAGACCAACAGGCTTCATGTATTGATAGGTCACGGGAGTGAAACCAATTTCATGTTGTCTTGTCCTGAGTCCAGACCGAATTCTATGGATCATATTTCTAATGTGGCCACCAAGCTAGGAGACTTAGCATCGTGGTGCACATTAGTAGATGTAAGTTGGTTGGAGGCAATCGGTAGGAAGTCCTGGATCTAGGTTTCGTGCTTGTTGTTGTTGCAAATATGATCGATAGAATTCAGTCTGCACTCAGGACTAGAGAACATGAAATTGGTGGCACTTCTGTGACCAATCAATACATGTAACCCAGTCCTACAGGTGACTTGCGGCCCGAATAGCTCAGTGGTAAAGCCGCTGACTACAGCACTGGATGACGCAGGTTTGAATCTCAGGCGGGACATCAGTTCCGTCTAGGTTGCAGATACGCCTTGCTGACAAGTGCCAACAAACAAAAAACCTAGATCCAGGGATTCCTACCGATTGCCTCCAACCAACTGACATCAACAGACTTCATCAATTGGTGCCAGGTATTGGTCTAGCTATCTTGAGTCCTCTTTCAAACTAACCCAGTTTCCTCTAGTATGGCACATCGAGGTAGGCGGTGGATCGGTATGCGCAACATATGTCGAAGCCATTTCAACCGATGAAGGTTTACAACCTCCTCATCAATGAACTTGCCTGTCTTGCCTAGTATCATTCGCATCACCTCAACATTGCTCATATAGTGATTCCACTTTATTTCAGATGATAGTTTTGAAATAGTATATAGAATTAACAGCATGCATTATTGCAAACAATTTACTTCTTGTAAAATATTTTCATCAGTAGAGAAATTAAAAGTAAAGTAACTAATAATATTGATGAAGATAATGATGATAAAACATGAATGATGGCAAGAATGAAATAGCTATTTATTTACTGTTACAACATGTAGTTCACTAACGCTTGTTCAACATCCTGGAGGCGTTCGCAATAAGATAGATCAAACCTAACCTCTCGATTCACAAAAAACATGTCCAAGCGTTACTTCTTCCTTGATCTTCAGTAAACTAGTCCTGCTTTTTTATTCGATATCTTTTTGTTCACTATCAAATCATTCATTCTGTATATGTATCATCTCAATATCGACAAATTTAAGAAAAGTCAGTTTTCTTATAATCCTAAAATCTCACTGCATTTTGAAAATATGTTTCTGCTGCTAATCTGGCTTGTGTTGACGTTTTACAAATGCATTTTATAATTGTAAAACCTGAAAAGAATATTCTTCGTTCAAATTAGTGCTAATTATTAGGGGATATGGCTCAGAACCGATGTCAATGGCGCAGATGTATACACACATTATCCTCATCTTAACTACACTATACCGAATCTCACCATTTTCTCATTCCTCTTTTCTTTCTTTTCGTACTTTGTATTTCTTTTGACTGTATTCTCTCATCTTCATCCTTCACCTCACTACCTTTCTACTTGACGTATTGTACTGAGCTGCGGCAACCCGGCCGTTACGCAGTAATGCCTGGTCCTATGTTGATATTGATTGATTGAGTTATTAGTGTTACAGAGGTATTTTTGTAGCTGAGCACACAAGAAATGCCTTTTTTCCTCTCCGATGCAATATAAGGAGAAAGCTGTGAATGAAGATAGGCAAACAGACAAAATCAACACAGAACCTTAGACCATACTTTGCAACATCAGGCTCAGTATCCGATAAAATGATTGTAATCAGTTGACTGTATAAATTCAAGTATCTGTTAACAGTGTTCCCAATTAGTAGGGTCACAGGTTAAACCACTAACCCTACTGATAGCTTTCAAAGTCCAATGCAATTTAATATAGTACCATCTTAGCAATCAAGGAAAGATTAAAGAGAAATAATTAAGAATAAGTATAATAAATCAATTGATAAATTGTAAACGTAGTGGTTGGCAAAGAGATATACGTTGAAAACACCCTAGAAATAAATGGAAGTAAATAATACGTCTTAAGGACACTTGAAGGATGAGGGCAACGTTAAAAGAAGTGATCTGATCATTACTAGTCCATGGTTCAAACAGAACAACATATGCTACAGCGTTGAAGTGTATCACTATTTCCCTCCTTCAACTACACTGTATTAGTCATAGTCACTTATCACTCAATATATATATAATTTACCATCACATTCAATTTAATGTCACATTTTATAGATGTACATAAATCATCGCATAAAGTTAAAATTGATCAACTTAAAACCCTAAAATATTTTTGAAAAATAAAGTATTTGCCACGAAATTGATCTATATAACAGCGGAGGATATTATGCAAGACAGGCAAGTCGATTCATGAGGTGGTGAACCTTAGTCGACTCAGATGGCCTCGACATGTGTTGCATACACCTAGCCACAGCTTACACCAATACGCTAAGCTAGGAGAAGCTGGATTAGGTTTGAAGTGGCTTCAAGTTGGTCAAAACAAGACGTGGCACCGATCCAGGAAGTCTCTAACTGTCAATTTAAGCCATGTGGGGAGATAAAGACTGTCTGGCTGAAGTTCCCGAGATTATAAGAATCAGTGGCTGAAAAGTGGTCACAGTGACGCAAATGTATTCACTTTTTGACGCCTTCTGAAGTTGGGGGTATTTTCACTAAACTTTATCATTAAATTATTTATTCTCTCACACTACTTTATCTACTTTGATATCATGCCTTCTTTATCCACCCGTTCTTCGTGTACTACTGTGAAGTATGGCAACTTAAACCGATGGACTTATGTGCGAGATTCTACGTTGATTTTTTCTGTCTGCCAGTAACAATGTAACTGTTGAACTTGAAGGGGATTTATTGAAAAGAATATTCATCGCTGACACTGTCTTTAAAATTATGGTAGTTTTGGGTAGGTCAAGTCGAAGAGATGGTTTTGTACCGAATTCTATAATGCATGATTATTAGCAGTTTCTACTGCTCAATTATCTATGAAGAGTTCAATTGAAGATATTAAAAAAACAGGCCAGTTTTAATTTTACTCCATATTAAGAAAGAAACTGAATGACACCACTATTTTTTAATGAACAAAATTACACACTCATAACTACCAGCTGATCCTGAAATTGAATCCCACGGAGGGGGGAACAAAAATATCAGCTGACTGGTTACAACAGAAAAAGAGTTCAGCTAAGATTTTATAACCCTTGAAACATTTAGTCCTGGCGTCAAAGATATGGTTTAAATGTGTAGATGACACATTTACACCACTGAAATTGAATGATATTAATAGGTACTTTACACAGATAAATTCAGTAGTAAAAGCAATTGAATATACCTGTAAAACTATAAAGTTGTGAAGGGCGCTTAGTACGTAAGATTAAAATACAAAACGTAAATAAAATGAAAGTTTGAACACAAGTGCCGATTAGGAACATTCACACTCGAATCGATACTTAGGCTTCAGATCATCTCACCGTATATAAGATAAAGTGGCCTTCTGTGCGGTTGTTTGTGATTACTCCGTCGTTGATTGGACCGAATTTGATCGGTCTTTATTAGCGTGTGGGCTCCTGCGCGGATCACTCGACATTGCCTGTGTTTCAATTTTATACTGATGATGGATAGTAGCTGGAAGTGGAACCCAAGACGTACATTTCGTCCTATTTCGGACTAGTCAGCTGGATGCACCCGTTTCCCAGTGACCGATGTTCTCCTTAAGAATGATACAAGTAACAATATCAATACAATACTTATCGCACAAGAAGTGGGTATTGTAACTTCATAGTCTAGTGCATAAAGCTCTAGCGTTTGAAACCACCGGTCCTGAGTTCGAGTCTAAGTGGGAACAACATCGCTCACTGGGGTACAGTTACATCCAGCTGGTTAGTCCAAAATAGGCCGAAACGGGCGTCCTGGATTCCACTGCTAGCCACTATCCACCATTAATATAAGATTGGTTATAACGTGTATTTTAGTGTTAACGAAGTAGTTAGATGCACCATATCAAGATAAATTTAAATACTTACATCAACTTGAATTAATTGTGCGCCCAAGATCAATGATAAACTGGCAAAGAGTGGTTTAAATGATCGTGCAACTTGCGCACAATCTAACAATTTATCTAAATGGGATTCTGCAAATCCCTCTAAAAGTGAAATGAATAAATAAATTGTAAGTATAAGGAAAGTTTTGGGATTACATCAATCAACATAACATAATTAGTCTATACAACTCTAGATAAACAATAGTTTGTGATAATAAAAAATATCATTTACAGTTGAATACTTCATGACTAAGTGAACTAATACAGGTGTCAATCGTAGTTTCACACATGACAACCCAGGTAAGTGAAGTGATCAACGCGCTCAACCACTTCACTTAATGATGTTAAACAAGGCACCAGTGAAAACTAGTCTTGGGGTAACAATTAGTATTTTGCTGGTGAAAGACGCAAACCGAACATTCTTAATTTGTCACTCAATGTGTACAGAAGACTCTACATTTTGTCAGCCTCTTCATCTAACAGGACTATGTCACCTGCGTATTCTAGGTCTACCAAAGATTCTCCTGTGATTACATCACTCTTTGTGAAGTCAGATGACAGAGGGATACAACAATAAGAACGTCTATAATGAAATTCGACAGGAATGAGGAGTCCTTTACGGACACCACTAGATGTACACAACTCACCATAGGCTCTAACATACCCACGGATGTGACAGTAAAGTCTCCAACAGAGTGATGTACTTACTTGGCACCCCTTTGACTCTGAAATAAGTCCTCTCAATCAACTAGGTTGAATGCCACCTTTAGGTCGTGAAACAGTTATTGTAGGTCACCGATAAGTATGCCTGGGTTAGAGAACCTAAGACAGTGAATATCTGAGGGATACATTTACAGTCAAGCCTGGAATCTGCTTAATTGTCTTGGGTTTGCCGTTTCCAAGCTTCAATCACCAAGGATTTCGCCTAAGTGGGATGTGAATCTGTGTTATATAACTGTTTATATATTGTAATCACGCTTGCTGTTATCCTAATGCAAACCAAGCCGCATTATAAATCGGAATACTTAAAACAGGTGTGGTTTGACAAGCTAACTTTATTGATAATGAATAATGATTGAAGAAAAATTTACTAACTGGATAGCAACAGAATTGGAAACAGCAGTCTTTAGGCTTCTCAGTCCAGCCTTCTACCAACCGGGTTACGAGACCCAGATACTAGTTAGATGTTGGCATCACTTCAACCTTTCGCTGTATGAACTGATTAAAAATAAAGTGAATGTTGAACTATACCCTACCAGTGTAAGGGTTTTCATCCCAACCTTTATTTTTATTTTTTATAACTATACAATCTGAAAAACTAACAACTTCCGGGATAAAAATGCTAATCCTTTCGCCAAGATAAAAAATTCCGTTTACATTCATATAAATTCAAGTTCACCGTTATTTCTACAAGTAAGCTTATTCGATTTTTAAGCTTATCAGCTGTAAACTTCACATTTTTTTGGCTCTTGTTTAAAAGAAATGATTCATTAAAATAATGTACAAATAGGTTAAAGATTGAGAGATTTAGCTTGTAAATAATTTATAAATTGCATGGTCAACGTCGACATTTTTCCCAGAGGGATAGTTTTTCAACTCTCCAACTGTGTTACTAACAGAGTTTCCATTGGAAACTATCCAGCCAAAATGAAAGACTAACTGACTGACAAAATCAACGCAGAATCTAGCACACAAATCCATCAGTTTGAGTTGCCGAATTTCACAGTAGTCCACAAAGAACAGGTGGATAGAGAAGGCGTGATATCAAAGTAGATAAAGTGGTGTGAGAGAATAAACAATCTGAAGATAAAAGTTACTGAGAATATTCAAGTTTTAGAAGACATCGAAGGGTGAATACATCTGCGTCACAAAGATCGATTTTTAGCTATATTAACAAAAGTACTAAACCACTGATTAATTTCGTTTTGAGGACTCCGACCAGACAATCTGTATCTCCCAAAACGACTCAGAGAAGTAGTTAGAAACTTCATCGACTGGTATCACGTCTCGGTCGGACCACCCTGAACACTTCAAACCTAATCTAACTTCCCCTAGCATGGTACGTCGTGGTAAGCGGTGGCTCACCATGCGTAGTACATGTCGAAATCAACTGACTTTACCGCTGTTTCTACAGCAGACTTAATATCAGGCCAGGTTTCCTCAGGATCAACACTACTTCCACATTCAAATAAGTGCTTAGATAACTTGTCCCTGAAAATACGAACTTGGTGTCCTCATCTTTCATTCTAGCAGTTGGTGGGTGTGTAGGCAGAAATTACGAATACGCATCGCCTAGTCTCACGATCCTTCTTAGTCCTTACAGATTCATTCAGTCGAACAGCACATAGACGGATGTTTACTAGAATCCAGTCAAGAAGCCCACTTTATCCTCTATGACTCAATGTTATGTCTACACCAGTGAGTTCACGGGAGCTGACCATTGCATCTCTAGATACTCCAGGTGAATTCTGAAGATTCCCTGCTATGAACAGGTGAGGTCGATTTATTAATCACACTCGAGTCCTGTATACATGTGTCAGAGACAGTATGCATCCATAGTTAGAGATTACAGAGTTTTGGTGTGCGATGCTTACTGTTCGATTTGGTTTAGAGTTCAGACACTGAAAGCTCCTATATGGCAGACTGACTGGGGTGGGGTCTTGCGAGACTAGAAATGACGTATCGATGGCTTTCAACGTTGACAATGGTCGGAAAATGAGAGATTGTGGGAGGCATAAGAGGTTTAACATTAATATCAGGAGGTGAAGGAGGAGGCGGAGTTGATGAGGATAAGTTATGTTTGATTGAATCTTGTACGCCACTGAAAGATTGTGGGTGGTACACACTTCCCGACTGCCCACACCATGGAAGGCTATTTCTTCTTAAGTTACTTGAAAGAGAAAAAGATTTGTGTGACCTTACAGCCCATTGGATACCTACTCGGGGCCTGTCACACACAAACTTTTGTGGTATGTTGCTTTGAGGTTTGATTGTTCTAACGCCGGATAGAGGAAAGCCTATACCGCCGGCACCCGGAAGCCATGGGGCATGGTGGAGTATGTTATTTTTAGGGTCGACCTTTTCTAACGCCCTTCACTTCCTGTTGAGAAGGGAGCATCAGCGTGGCACTGCTAGTCATTCAAAGGAAACGCCTTACTGTTATCACACCGCATCCAGCTAGCAACATTACTACTTCGTCCTTAGATCCCCATCAAAGTGTAGTTATTTACACTACAACGGTAACTGCTTTTCGTTTTAGCACTATCCAACAGACCTTCCTCGTATGGTGGGACATCAAGGTAACAAACCTTCCGGCCTGTGTAAACCGTTGGGTCAGTGTGATATGCAGAACCGATCACCACGCAAAGGTAGCAGCTATCAGTCGGGCCAGCCAAGATCACCAGGTGTGATCTCTGACACAAGTGCAATGAACTAGTGGGATATGCTACTACTGACTAAATAGCTTGAGCAGTTAAATACCACTCAGGCCAATCTGTAGATACCATAAGCCAATTCAGAGTGTTGCAAACTCCAGATGGCCGTTTGACTTGCCTGGGACATAGCTTTTTAGTGATATACAAGGAAAAATTCAGCTCGTAGAGTCAAATTAGTTTAGATCACTAGAATCTGGTTAGTTGAACTGCATGGACCGGATATGCCTAAAATAAGGTTATCAATTAGAAAATGTTGAGATCACTCCGATTCGGCTGGTGAAATCTGCAGATCAGCCTGAGTGGTTTCCAACTACTCAAATTGTTTAGTAGTAGTGCATCTCATAGATTCATTGATTAATGATAACGATGGGACTAAGAATGTATCAAATAAAACTAATAAAGTTGTTTACACATAACTCATCATCATTAACAAACGATTTAGCTTTATTTTACCACTTCAATTTGTTTGATACAATCATATGACCATGAATGAGGAGTACAGGTATTCACACATATTGCTCCAATTGAACAAGATAGTCAAGTATAATTATATTTAACACATGGGTTTTTACTAAACAGACTTTAAAAACTTAGCAAAAAACAGAAAACTATAAAACACATCTATAAATGTAGTTTTAAATTACCATGCTGCTTACTTGAAGAAGCTATCGGGCTTACATAAAACTAATGATCCAACTAGTCATGCTAGTGGAACGCTTGTTCTTATCATATCAGACACGTCTGTTGGATAATGGTAATACGAAAAGATGTTATCGTTACAGTGTTAATCACTAAGCCATGATAGGCATCTGAGAGTGAACTTGTACTCCTGACTGTACGATGTGTGACTGACAGCAGAGAATGACCAAAGGTCGATGTTGCTCTTCCTACGGGAACGGAGAGAGATAGGAAAGACTGACCGGAAAAATGACACACTCCATGCTACACAACAGCGATAATGGTTCATAATAGGAGTCAAAATTATTGAACTTAAATCTCAAACTTCTAAAATAACCATATGTGATAGGCTTCAAGTGGATGTCCATTGGTCTCTGCGATCACACACTGACCCTTATTTTTCAAATACCTCAGAAAGAAATAGCCTTCCACGGTGTGAGCAGATGGGTAGTGTCAATGGTCTTCAAAACTCTGTCAGTACTCAAGTGTTATGAGATCACTACCAACAGATTGATTGGTTTAAAAAATATTCTACTGTATACATTACTAGACAGAGATATTAGCCTATTCATTGAGAATAATCACAAGTGGAAACAATTCAGTTTTGTGTACCTTTATATGTAGTTATGTCTGCTCGTATGTTTGAATATGGAACAAAAGCGCAATCAGAAACAAAGTCATGGCTTCTAATACACAGTTTATATTGGATAAGAAGCATAACGGAGACAAAGGGAATTAAGCCCAAGTAAAAACCTATAACATTTGTCTGTAATCAGCTACTTCTCTTTGACAAACAAACTGATAATGAACACAGCCTTCAGTTTATTGATTTTAATACAAATTTTAATAAACAATAAAAACTAGATATATACAAATTAAAAATTTCCCCACAAAAGTCGACAGATTACCTTTAATAAGAGAGAAAATAATTAAAAGGCGTAGACGTTCCTCCACCGATGTAAAATCGTATTTGAAAATGTCCACTAATACGCGCATAGGATCGGTAACTGGTTCTCCTTCAGCAGTTTCACCCATTACAAGGTCCTTAAAAAGAAAAATTTGTAAACAAGAGTAAAAAAACAAGAAACGGTAATACTAGAAAAGAGGAAAAACTGAGTAAAGTATATGTTAGTCCCATCAAGTATTATTTAAGTGACGAATATAAAAGGTTTCGCCCATAATATAAATTAAGGTGTCCAAATTCACATTATTTTTAACACATGGAAAACCCAAAGTAATTGATACTAGGTAATGGTTGAAGGTGAAATGGGGATTTGAACCGCAGCCGGATTCGAACCGGAAACTCGGTGGTCTTTGGTTCGAATCCGGTCACTATCCGAATTTCCGTTTCACCTTTAATCATCACCCAGTAAAAATACTAGTCTGTTAAACTACGGCTATTTCAGATAGTCAAATGATAACTAAAGCAATTCAGCAAAGAAAATTTTCTTTTCGATGCATCATTCCCAGTAGCTATACAATCGTATTTATAGTCATTATAAGCAAACAAGTAAGCCTCTTATTAGACAATAGGTCAACATTAGATCATGAAAACGGAGTATTCTAGGATGAAATAGTGGATTTTTTCTAGAGTTAGAAAGAGACTGCGCACTTATAGGGTGTATAAAGAAAATATGCAGTCGAATACGGTGATGACTAGTAGGTTGAAAATAATAATACTAATAACAATCAATAATCGGAGAATTTTAGTAAGGAAAGTGGAACTAACATGTTAAGATATAGTCAAGTAAACCATAAAGCGAAAACGATAAATATGATCAGTCAATAAGTTTAAGATGAACAGTGAAGCAATAAAGAAAGTCAAGGAGGATTATGACCACGGCAAAATAAGAGAATGGAAGTACGTTTTTTGGGTGCAGAGCCAAAGAGGTTTAATTGTTGAATTGACAACGCCTCTGCTACACATATCTCGCATCGCACTGAAGATTATCGGTTACAGCTAAGTGCAGATAAGAGTCAGTTTTATCTGTCATCCGTAAAGTATTTGGGATGCATCTTCAACGAACACGGTCGCATAATCAATGCTGGATGTATTTATTTAGCTCTTGATAATAACATGTAGTTATAAGGATCCCATCCTATTATAAACGGTTTGAACTCGTGTATTAAATAGCTCAAGTTTGTGATATCATAGATAGGTTATTCGGACAAGGAATAAGTCACTATGGAACAGGATTATACACAGTGGTTGATCTAGACGATAAGCAAAGTGACTTTACATCATACCAGCATCCTCAAAGAAACTTATAATTCCTCAACCGCTTTATACGGTTAACATTAATGTGAGACCAGGTATTACTACGTAACCGTCCAAGTTGCCACATCTCATATCAGGAAATTCAGAAAAAAAGGTAGTAACAGGAAAGATTTAGGAGCAGGGAGAGTGAAGGTAATCAGAATTTGAAGAAAGGCATATGAAGAGAAGAACGGGGAAATAAAAAGCTAATCGAATGCAATACTATGATGACTAGTGTGAAGATAAGGTGGGTGCATCTGCGACAATGAGATCAATTCTCAGCCAAATCATCAAGTCAGTAACCATTGATTTCGGTCTTCGTACGAACTCCAACTTGGAAGTCTATATTTTCTTACACAGTTCACAGCAAAAGTCTGAAACTTCACCAAGTGATGTCATGTTTAAATCTAACGGTCTAAAACCTTTTTTTCACCCTAAACCTACTTCCGGTAGAACTTAAGTTCTACCAACCTCAGGAACTGTTCGTTATCAGTCAATGCTTTATTTTTGCAGTTCTCGTGATTATTGCAACGTTAATTCAGCTGGTCATCCATCATATGCCGATTTTCTTCGGCAGTTACGCCTACTCCCCTGGTATATCTACTCCGAAGATGCTAATGCTATTGTCAAATAACTCAACTAGGTACAGAATGCAACTGCAGGCAGGACCACAGACATGAAAACCGTGGACACGTCTATATCTAGGTTTCTTTGGTTTAGTAAATGTTTCGAAGAATTTAATCCTTGTCAACGAAGCATCCTTAGTACAAATCACATCGGTTTCAACTATTGCAGTGCTATGAAGTCTTTTCAGACAACTAGGACTTCCATAAATGCTTGTTTCTGATAATTCTTAGCGGTTCATTTCATTCCAACTTCAAGACTGTTTTGTAAGAAGATTGTGCACACATGAATCAAATCATACCTTCTACAATAAAATGGCTAAGTAGAACTTTTCGGTGAAGCTGTATACATCAGAGACTATCGTTAAGTGCACTCAACATGGATACCAGGGATGGACGCAAGATGCCATCGGTAGATTCAGTATACTGCTATAATCGAGTCATACAGATGATCCGACACAAAAACCGGTTGTGAGTTCGGTATAATAACCTTCTACTTGACATTTGGTATGGTGACAGCAACTCAGCGAACAGCAGAATTACATTCTCCCCAAAATAAAAAGGGTACTACAACCAAACAATGGATGGATAGAAAACGTATGACCATACAATCAACGCAATTGAACCGTCAACTATAGAAGTACGAATAACATTCGACAGGAGAATTGTCAAAATGGCACAATTCAATCTGAATCATCTTCGGAGCCGTCGCGACGTTAACCTAGTTGTAAAATCTGAGGTGTCCATCACATCGTTGTGGATATTTTTACACTGTAACTGCAACTCTTAGCGTTTTAGAGATGAAAATGCTAAACGACATTGCATGTTCTACTATAATCGTTGTTGTAAAAGGATTGCTGGCATTCAGAGAAAACATCTTGTAAGTAATTCTGATGTGTGATAGTGCATAGTGGAGAATATCCCACACTGAGTGAATAATTCGAAACAGCAGTATCGATGATTTTAAAATGTTACGAAAGCCGACTCAGTGGTTTTCAAACGATTCACTGTGCGCTATTTAGAATGAACGGAGCGATTGTCAATGTATGACAGAGTCATGCGTTGAGGGGTAATTTTGCTAGGTAAATAAGTAACTGTTGATGCTTCACGGCTCCTCAAATGGGGTTTGAAAGATCACTTAACTTAATGGGCGTGAAAAGATAGCAAATATGGGTCAGAATCAAAACGGATGCCAATTTTATTGTACGTTCCTCGTATTTTATGTTTGAGAAAAGTGAAAAAACTTAATGCAAACTTTTTTGGACGTATCTTATTAAACCGGATATCTAATCACTCTTACTTTCTCGTCCTAACTCTTCACTTTTTTACCTCAAAGTGTTGTTCCACTACACTGTGTTAAGTATTTATTGGCGTTTATGGCACAGACGATACATTTTCTAAGTAGTATATTTGAGAGTTTGGCTTTACTTTCAATCAATCAACCAATCAATATCAAAATAGGACCAGGCATTACTGCGTAACGGTCCGGGTTGCCACACCTCATATCAGCACATCAAGTAAAAAGGTAGTGAGGTGAAGGATGAAGATAAGAGAATGCAGTCAAAAGAAATACAAAGTACGAAAAGAAAGAAAAGGGGAATGAGAAAATGGTGAGATTCGGTATAGTGTGGTTAAGATGAGGATAATGTGTGTATACATCTGCGCCATTGACATCGGTTCTGAGCCATGTGATCACCTAGAGTCAGTCTCCAACCACTTGTTCCTCTTGTCCCACGGATCCCAACCACCCAGTCTGCATCACCCCACATGGCTCAAACCAACAGTCAGTGGCTACCTTGGGCCTTTTTCCAGCCTGAACCTACTTCAGCCAACATTGTGTGATGAGGCAATCGGTGACTGGGCATACGTAGTATGTATCCCAACCATCCCAATCGATGAAGGTTCATAACCTCGTCTACTGATTTACCTCTTCTCCCTAAAATTCTACTCCTGACTTCTGCACTACTCACGTAGTGACACCACGGAATACGGCCTAAACCACGAAGGCTACGGTGGTCAAACACTTGAAGCCTTCTCGCATTTTCCACTTTCAATGGCCATGTTTCACAGCCATACAGCAGAACAAGCCGGACTGCTGTGAAGTACGCGAGACCCTTAATAGACAAACGGATATCACGGTGGTACCATAGGTAGAGCAAAGTGGCAAAAGCCAGTCGAACTTTTTGTATCCGTGCAGAGATTTCATCGGCAACTGACTGTGAACAATAACTTCTGGACGTTGCTGTGGTGAAGAGAAATTGGCGCCACTGTAATCCAATCTACGAAAATACGTAGAGTGAACGCTTTTCCATTCCCCACAAAGGATCCAGTGGTAGGACAGCATGTATTAAAGAAGTTTAAGTAATTAAAATCACTGTTTGAAGACGACTCTATTTTAGTACACGCGATTCGAATGCTGTCCGGTGATTCTGAAATAATGATTAAAATAGTTTTGTTAAAGTGTTGTGAAGACGCCGTCGGTCCTCGATACAACCACAATGAATGCAATCACCTCCATAACTGGTGTTTCACCTCTGCTTTTGAAAAAAATCCAGAAATCATTGGGTGGATGAAGTGCTTGATGGAATTTCACGGAGTGGAACCTCTTAAGTGGTCCCACTTAGCTATTTGAAACAATATTAACACAAAATGAAGAAAAAGACACTATAGTTGATGATAGTCATAGAGTATCTCAAGGATACAGTAAGTAGAATGTTATTCTGTTTTTGCCTAATCTTCTTGTAGACATTCATTTCGTTTTACATTCTAATTACAAAAAGTTTAACGACTATGTGGTGTTTGTAATAAGATTAAATATATAGGAATCAGTATTACTGAACAATGTGGTCATAAATCAGGAAAATGTAAACATAAACTGATACGCAAATAAGAGATGAGCTTCAGTATGTGATAAATATGACCAAAATGAGATTACATGGGTTAAAGTGAATAGTGAAGTCATTGGGGTTAACACTTTGGTCTGGTTCATGAAATTTCAATTCAATGAGAGTGATTAATGATTGAATGTTTTGTGGAAGCTGAAGCACCCACCTACCTCTAAGTCCAATGATAGCAGAAGTTGGATTGGGTGGGGAGGAGGTTCAGGGTGGTCACGCTAAGACGTGGCACCAGTCTATGAAGTCTCTGACTGTTGGTCTGAGACGAGTAGGGAGGCATAGACTATCTGATTGGGGTTCTCGAAACCATAAGAATCAATGGTTAGCCACCCATGGTTAGTCGCATGGCTGAAAATCTGTCACAGATGCGTGAATGTATTCACTCTCTGACGACTACTGAAGCTTGAATGTTTTCACTAACCTTCAGTTTTTAGAAGCCTTCTCCTCCCATACAACTTTATCTACTTTGATGTCACTCTTTTCTCTCCACTTGCTCTTTGCATGCTACTATGAAATATGGTAACTTAAACCGATGCACCACTGTGTGAAGTTCTACGTTAATTTCGTCTGTTTGCCTGTCATCTGGTACTGAAGGTTATTTTCAATAATATACAGATACCGTCATTATAATTTGAGATAACAGTTAGCTATACCCAATTGAAAAGCAAATAGATAATTACAGCACTTAAAAAATATTTCATGACTCTTAAACGTACCTGTTCGATTTGACATAGTTTATCTACACCTTTTTTAAAAATGGTCATACACGTTTCAACAACATGATAGACAGCAGCGTAACTAGCTGATTCAGTTTGATATTGTGGCATACGTTTGATTAGGTCAGATAGACTTCTAACTCCTCCGGAAGCATTTTTATTCGTATCATCGTTCGATGAAACTGCGTTTACACTGCCTTCTTCAAATTCCGCAAATTCTTTCTTGCTTTCTGCGAATTCACGAACACGCTGAGGAAGAGTTCTGTTAGTTGAGTGAAAAGAGTATGATATAGGAAATTGCTTAGAGTGAAATGAGTTTTAAAGACAAAGTACTGCAATCCATAAAGTTTTCAGTTATTTTTGGAACACTAATGTTCATTGGAATTCAGATTCATTCGGTTAGAGAACTCCAATATGCTGAAATACGCACCGTTTGTTTTACTATTAGCGACTAAAAACAGTATTAGAATAGTATTCACCACGGTATGTATTCAAGGAACTTATGCAAAAACGAAAACAAAGACAAGTATAATTAAGTCAGGAAGTTTTATGACAGAGGACATGCGAAGTTCACACTGTGCTTAGTTTTAAGCCACGTCAACCAAAGTCCTTAATCATGCGTTTCAGTTGACTAGAGGACCGTGACCAAGACGCTAACAATTCCCCCAAAACTCGTACTAATAACTGGAGACTTCAAAAATTGGTAGCATGGTTAAGTTTGGCGGTATCGCCACTACTCAATATTTGATAAACAAACAGTTTCAGATTCTAATTCTGAATACTCTGTTGAAGAGGCTGTGTCTCGCGCAGTGAAACGTTCATAAAGTCTTGTTTTAATTTTCTGAACACGCTGGAGAATTATGAGAAAAATTCACTTTTATGGCAGAAGGATACAATGTACTTGCTCCTGGCGAGTGACGTTGTCCCCACAGCAACGGATCCCTTCAAACGCCACAGAGTTATCCACTGGACCACCGAGCCAGGATAACCACTTCTTGTGCGACAGGTATAGTTTTAGTATCGTTACTTGTCCTGAGTTCGAGTCCCAGTGGGAACATCACTCACTGGAAGGCAGGTACATCCAGCTGACGAGTCTCAAACAGGACGAAGTGCGCGTCCTGGATTCCACTCACAGCCACTATCCATCATTAATATATATTATTAAAACAGACAATATCGAGGGATCCACGCAGGAGCCCATATGCCATTAGAAACCGATCAATTCAGCTTAATCAACGACGGGATAATACAGGCAACAACATTGCGAATGAGTATTTACTGGATTTAAAGCTTCTTATCGCCTATCTATGCTGTATACTATGCATTTTCATGGTCATTAGTTAATGGTCGAAACTATGTTGCCAGATCTCCATCATTTTATACATATAAAAGACAAACGCCCAGTCAAATCACTATATTGGTTGCAATCGGATGATCAATTTTTGTATAGGATGATATTTCAACATTTAAAATACAATCTGTTCAGTGTATATAGAAGGATGAAGTGACAACTAACAAACAAAAAATGATATCTACTACTAAAACTGGCATAAACACCTACCTTGTAACATCTGCGATATGCTGATGCCGAAATTCTTTCCATAGTGTGTCACCCTCAGCTACATTTGCTTTACGATTTCCATCATATCTGTAAACGAATAGGAAATAATATAAAGGGCTAAATCATATTATCAGTAAGATGAAATAAAGATAAATCTCCGGAAAAGCAACAAAAGTTAGTAAAATAATGACTTCTTCACAGACTTTTATAGATGTTATATGCAGTGATAACAGATAAACCTTAGTGTTTATCGATTCAGTGACTAGATACCGTTCGCACTGAATACAAACAGAGAAAAAAATCAACGTAGATAGAACCTCACACATAAGTGCATCCCATCAAATTGCCACACTTCACAGCAGTATACAAAAAACAGGTGGATAGAAAAAAGTGATAGCGAAGTAGACAAAATTGTATGAGAGAACAAACAATTTGGAGATAAAGGTTCGTGAAAATATTCCAGTTTTAGAAGACGTCAAAGGGTGAATACATCTGCGCAACTGTGACCGATTTTCAGCCCTATCAACAAGAGTTCTCAACTACTCATTCCATTCGTTTCGGGGACCCCGGTCACATAGTCTACATCTCCCCACATGGCTTAGATTAAAAGTCAGAGACTTTTTGGATCTGACCACCCTCAAACCTATTCAAACATCATCCAACTTCCCCTAGTATGGCACATTGAGAAAGGCGATGGCTGGGCAAGCACAGTGCATGTCTAAGCCATCCCAGCCGAAGAAGGTTTACGACTTTCCTATCTTGCCTAGTACCCTTACATTGACCTTAACATTGATCACAAAGTGATTCTACCAAACGTGACCAATGCTAGAAAGACACCGATGTAACCGTTTCATGTCTTTTACCTTTAACAGCCATGTCTCACAGTCGTACAGCACGACAGAGCGGACTGCAGCTCAGTACATTCGTCTTTTGATCGATGGTCAGATATCTCTCCAGTCGATGCCACAGATGACGCATGTTTGCAAATGCAAAAAGAACCATCTGTAACAAAGCTGAGATTTCGTCAGCAACCACCTCATTCACATTCACGGCAGAAAGTGATTACCTTAATAGAAAATCTATCTGAGTACCGTTCTGTTAGACTATACAATGAAAAAGATTTACCTGTGACGTTAAGTGATATGATTTAAAGTTGGACATGATTTTTCAGATACACTTACATCTGATAACTTTGAAGACTGAAGCACCTCATTATATATGTCTCCCTTATCTACTGACATGCAATTTTTGGTTGTTTATAGGAAATTTTTATTACTTACTGTCTAAATCCCCATGTAGAGAGAAAACTGGAAACTTCTCTGGGCAAACTAAGAGCAATAATACACACTGCTGTTTGACATTTCGGAACCAATAAGGGAAGAATTATTCGTCTGTAGTGTGTAAAACACATTTGAATTCATGCTAAGAGTAGATCAACTTATGAAATGGTTATCAGTGGGGTTACCGATATAGCTGACTATCTCTTAGTGCTCAGCGTTAACAGAAGTCTGTCGATCAAGTTTGCAGAAAGGTTAATAAGTTAAGTGATACAACACCGTGGTACACTGTACTTCGATGGCGTATATTATGAGTCAAATTGTACAAAAGTCGACGGTTTCTTACGATATAACCTAAATGCCTGTGAATATTGCTGAGAGAAGAAAAAACGACCGACATTATCAATCAATACTTGGAAAGCATCTTTATGTCCGAATATTAAACTGATAATGACACGCGAAACTGATTACTTATTTCCATTTTTCGATTTTGGTATTAGAAGTAAAAAATAGTGGGAAATGGGCAACATCAAAACTTTCATTGTTGTTGTTACTATTTATTGATGTGCTTGTAATTATCTGTTATTTTACTGGATCGAAATGTCCGACCTCTATTTGTATATGAGCTCCCATGCGGATGCCTCGATATAGCCTGAATTTTAATCATGACAATTCACTTGGTTGTGGCTTGCAGAGGAATCCAGGACGCGGGTTTCTTCCTAACTGGGACTCGTCAGCTGGATGTCTTAAATAGGAAGAAACGTGCATCTTGGATTCCTATGCTAACCACAACCAAGTGAATTTCACTGTTGCTACCTGAAAAACTAGAGCAGTAATGTGCTGTGAAAGGAAAAAACATTTTCAGGAGAATGAACATCCTGAAACGTTTCTCAAGAAATGTGAAAGAGAAACTTATCCTCCGATTGTATCAAGTCAACTTGAGAAGAAACCAGTATTCCTTCTACGCATGTTTCAGGGAAAGTAGACAAACACTTGCCTTCATTTTACCTCGAACTGCATTTGCTCACTTACGTGTCCCTTTCCAAATCAAGTATATTGAAAAAATAGAGAAATAGGTTTCCACTTACTTCCCTAAATGTTCGCAAGATTGTACGCCTCAAAAGGAGCTATACAATATCAAAAGTTCAGTTTCACATCACTTACTGAATACAGGACATTTGAACAGCCTTTCAAATAATCAACAGACAACAGTAAAAAATTACACAGGTTTTTAGAGGTCATGCAAATGAAATGTTTAAAAGAAAAGTGAATTCAGTAAAGGAGCACTAATGAAAGGAAATTAAAAAGCCTTACACAATGGAATTATCCTCCACAGTAAGTAAATCATAGCACATAGCCTGAAGTGTTAATTCATGCAATAGAGGACTAATTGGATCCAAACTGCGATCAACGATCAATAAAATACTTTGATCTTTATGAGAACCCTGTGAAAAGGAAGAAGAAGAGAGAATGCATCTGGTTACCTAGCATTAAAACTGTAATAAACAGGTAGGATTACTACAAATTATAAAAGACATGAGATAATATATATGTGTATAGCTGTTTCTATCTTTAAACCTATACTGAATCGTGGGTTACAAAGTAGCTGCATTGTTATTTTTCTGAAAGGAAAGGGAAGAGTTCCACTTCTTTGCTTACTAAACCCAGTGTGTCCAAAGGTGAAGTACTTTCTCCGTTTGTGTTTTTTTTCCTGTTGCTTATCACCTCATTCTTCTGAAAGTTATTTTATTAAGTATGTTGAATGACCTGACGGCTTCTGTGCTAATTAACTCTCACTTACATGTTTTCCTGTCTGAAATTGACTAGTGATCTTTATCACATGGTCTCAAGCTAAACCTTTTTTAAATGTTCAACTATTAATTTTAGCCTCAGTTTCAAACAAGACTTGTGTGAGCTGCTTAGGTTATATGACCCCCTATTGTAATGATGACATTACTATAGGCAGTAAATCGATTGTTAACTATCTTTGATTAAGTTTTGCTTCTAACCTTTGTTGGTCATCTCATACCCTTTTGGCTTCCAAGAAACTTTTTCGTTTAACATATTACATGAAGGAACTGAGACTCTGGCACAACTCAACCTCTATAATTCAGTAATTCCTGCATTTTGCCTATTCTTCTCTATTGTTACTGCCGATCTTTTCTGGTTTACTAAAAAAAGACTATTATACTATGTAGGGCTTTGAAAGCCATCAGTAGGGTAAGTACTGTAACTCAGGCTCGACTGATTAATACTGTAGTTGACAGATATTTAACTTTTAGCATGCAACTAGCTTCAGTAATTTTAACTAACAATGAGTATTCACCTTATTCACAACTCTCTCCTTGTGCCTCCAACAGGGAGGACAAGAAGAAATTACTTAAGACCGTAAGTCAGCAAAGTTAAATATATGAATTTGACTGTACTTTACCTGGCACCCATCTTATGCGAAGGAAAACATGTATTGGAACAGAACTCACTTATCAACTTTGTAACAATAAATAATCAGTCTTTCCAATATTTTAACTAACAGTGTAAAGTATTCCTCGTTATTAATATTCTTTACATAATTTAAATGGTCTTATTTACCCTATTCAAAATGTTGCAATATAACATGCTGAAAATTCAAAATTGTACCAAAGTAGTTTGGAATAAAGTGGCTATTATTATTATTATTATTATTATTATTATTATTATTATTATTATTATTATTAAACGACATAACAACAAATGCATGAATTTAAATATCAATCTGTTTGGAAGAAAGTTAAATAGTCCTACAGAACAAACACAATTTATGCTTAAATGAGATATATTAGCGAAATTTTGCAGGAATCTCCTTTCAGAAGCTAAACTTTGTATAATAAAATGTCATTTGTTTAGAACCTGGAATTGTTGTGCTACATATGAACTGATAGAAGTAAGAAATGTGAACCACTGAATTCCGACCCATTGACCTAATGATAACGTGCTGGTCGCAGAACCTGAAGGCCTTGGGTTCGACCCCTGGCGGGATCATGGGTGTGCACTTATGAGGAGCCTCATAAGAGGATGAAAGAATTGTTCAATACTCCTAGGTTTCCAATGTTTTTTCCAAATGATGGCACACCATGATGAATACCACACCTGAAACCTCTAGTTGTGTTGAAAATGATAGCATAGTAACTTTATGGTATAGAAGATGAACAGCTAAATAATGTGGACAGTATAGGATCAGTTGTGTGAACCAGAAGAAAACACTATTCATTTTCTCTTCGAACACCAGTTTACACTTACTATGTCATTGTCAAAACCAAGAAAGACAAGGGAGGAGATAAAGTGTTGTTGGAGAAAAGAGACTGTCACCTGAAGGATGAAAATAAACTCCAGAAACTTAGAGATTTAAAGGAAACAGTGGAAAAACAGACTCAAAGAAGTGGAACAAGGGCGTTCAACTTCGGTCAAGATGAATAACTCGCAGAAGCCCACAAAGTGCAACACATAAAAACTTCATAATCTACCTGAAATTCGTCTAGTCTTAGATATGCATTGGCCACCATACCATATCAGTCAGCTCTTAGAACCACTTCACAACCAAGTCATCATCAAAATGATGCACAGGACGCTCTTAACTTTCTTGCCTAACTTCTGTTTATTGGTCTATGCAGCTGTTCCACTGCACTCTATCAATACCCTTCTGGTAGCGTTAATTAAATACCTGAAGGCGTTATAAGAACCATTTTATCGCTTTTCCTTCACAGCTATGTACTTAAATAGAGTGCAGTGTTGTCTCAAACATCTGGTCATTAATATGCACTCAGGTATCTCACAGACATGACAGGCGGCGTTAGTTGCTAAAATCCAATAGAACCCATGGTATGTGTGGATATATTTCAGTGTTGTGCCAATTTATTTTCGGTCATCTTCAGAATTTTCCATTTTCTATTTCTCGACGATACTCTCTCTAACTGCTACTCTTGACAAACCAATCCAATTGGCTACTTTTTGCAATTTCCGAAAGTCATAAGTGGCTAACAACTTTTTCTTCCTATTCTCTACCATTCACTTCAAACGATTTTCGATTAGACGTTTATTTAATCTACTCTCTGGACGTTGTCACATTCCATAGTGATTTAAACGAACTGCGATGGGGCCATTAAGCATCAAATAGTTAGGGGTACCATCAAATAACATTTCATTACAGCTTACCATCCATCTCTGACGGTGTCTTAAAATCCCAGTACGGTTGTGAGGTAAAATCAGTGTTTGAAGATTTATAGTGCTACCCAGTCACTCAGTCTGAAGTAGTTAGGATGGGCTTCATCCAGTAACTGGACAGGTGGGAGTCAAATATTAAGACCATTAGGTCACAAATTCAAGAGGATATAACGTTGGAATACTTCGGAGAGAGTAACGTTGTTCTAGTGTGATGGCTCTGTAGTAAGTGGTTCCCCAGATACATATCTAATAGTCGTATCTGAAGACAAAACATGGTAATACTATTAAAATAGGTGTGAAACTTGGGTACTGTGGTGGAGTTTAATTTCATATTGGGTTTGTTTATTTGATTTATAATACACAGTGATACGGTATCATTTACTTGATGATTTTTCGAGCATAAATTATCACCGCTCATAATCATACCTCAATGTAATCATACTACTTTCGATATTTGATTTTTATAGCCCTATCACCTCATGTTATTTATTTTTATTGGTAGTAGAATCTCCCATATCTCTGGTATAGGTGTCGCGTCATTTCTGTTACACATGTTGGGTGTTGGTGGATTAGATGAACAGAAATTCAGTAATCCATCTCTCTCAATATCCACCTAATTATATTTGACTTATGATTATGAGCCGTGATAATTTATGCTCTAAACGTCATGAAGTAAATAATACTAGATCACTGTGTGTTATAAATCAAATAAATAAATCTAATATAAAATGGTGATTTTATGTCTGTTTTACGCACCCCGGGAGAAATGGCTACTTTTGCTAAAATCTGTATCCACCATTATATGGAATTCGATGGAATCAAAAATGGGACCCCTTTTTGTGTTTCAAGTTAATGTTTGCCATGAACTAGTAACTTTCTACCTTTCTAAGGTAACAGACGCTGAAGAAGTATGCTTCTCAGTTGTTATCATTACGATACGCAAACCGGATTAGCATGTTAAGGCAATATTTATCGAACCTTGTTAGAAATACCAGATTTTGAAGTGACCGCGTAGAAGTGAGCAATAACAGAATAATAGGAGATATGAGAACGTTACTGATGCAATGAGATACTTGGATGTGATACAAATAACGACTGTTCTCCCTTAGACTTGATACTTAGCTGAACCAGAAGGCAAAGGCCGGTCTGTGACTATAAGGAAGACAACTTTATTTGACAAAGAACATCATTTATGAACAGTTTTTCCTCAGAAAATAAAGCTACTAGGTCAGAAGTTGGATGCCTATTCTGATTGGTCAGCAGTAGGACAAAATTGCCCAATAAGGTTTTTCTTGCCTACACAGTAACATGAAACAAGTTTGAAATTCAAAACGTCTACCTTAGCAGCCGATGACTTAAAATGCTGATTTTGATTTAGGCCACTTCTTATCAATTTCGATATTTTCATACTTGCATTTTGTTCTATTAAGACCATTCCTCATAAAAACCTAATTCTTCCGAGTAGGATTAGTAACTTTATTTTATTACTCAGAGAATAGATTTCATATTTTTATATCGTATTGAATGCGTTGTTTTATCGATGACTAATAGCTTGAATAATGTTTGCAAACATGAGTAAATTATAATCACAAAGTTTTAACTTACTTGACCCAAGGATGGATTGTCACTTTTATAGGTATCTAACTTCAATTGTACCAAACGAGCTAATTCCAGGTTACTATCTGTCCTGTAAGATTTTTTGAAGTATGAAATAAACGATGAATAGAAAGAAAAAGTCATGAATGTATAACGTTAAAATTTAAGATATTCTTTACAAGGATTTGTTAGTTTTTGAGAAAATAACAACTCTATTAAAACGAGCTCATTTTACCGAAACTAGAACAATTAACTTTATTCTGATGATGTAGTCATTCGTGATATTTTTCGACTTTCATGATAGCAACTAACCTAGGAAGTTTATTCAATAAAACACTGTAGGGGCTATCATCATCAACATAGGACCAGGCATTACTGCGTAACGGTCCGAGTTGCCACACCTCATATCAGCACATCAAGTAAAAAGGCAGTGAGGTGAAGGATGAAGATAAGTGAATGCAGTCAAAAGAAATACAAAGTACGAAAAGAAAGAAAGAGGAGTGAGAAAATGGTGAGATTCGGTATAGCGTTGTTAAGATGAGGATAATGTGTGTATACATCTGCGCCACTGACTTCGGTTGTGAGCCATATAACCTAGGGTCTCCAACCACTGGTTCCTCTTGTCCCGTAGACCCCAACCACCTAGTCTGCATCGTCCTACATGGCTTAAACCAACAGTCAGAGACTTCATACATTGGTGCCATGTTTTAGTCTGGCCACCTCACCTCCAGCCTTTTTCCAGCCTGGACCCACCTCAGCCAACATTGTGTGATGAGGCAATCGGTGACTAGGCATACGTAGTACGTGTCTCAACCATCTCAGTCGACGAAGGTTCACAACCTCGTCAACTGACTTACCTCTTCTCCCCAAAACTCTACACCTAACTTCTGCACTACTCATGTGGTGACACCACGGAATACGTCCTATATTACGAAGGCAACGGTGATCAAACACCTGAAGCCTTTTTGTATCCTCCACTTTCAATGGCCATGTTTCACAGCCGTATAGTAGAACAGAGCGGACTGCTGTGCAGTACACGCGACCCTTAATAGACAAAGGGATATGACGGCGGCGCCATATGTGGCGCAAATTGGCAAAAGCCAGTCGAGCCTTTTGTATCCGTGCAGAAATCTCATCGGCAACTAACCCACCAGGGTTGATCCTACTTCCCAGGTAAGTGAAGTGGTCAACACACTCAACCAATTCACTCTCTATTGTTAACCGCTGTACCACTGAAGACCAGTCCTGGAGCAAAAATTTGCATTTGGGTGGTGAAAATCGCATCCCAAACATTTTCAAATTCCCACTCAAAGTGTTCAGAAGACTCTGCATCTTGTCAGCGTCTTCACCTAACAGGACTATGTCATCTGCATATTCTAGATCTAAAGAAAATTCACCTGTGATCGGGTCAACGTCTGTGTAATTAGGTGACGAGAGGGAAACCTCCATAAGAATATCTATGATAAAATTAAATAAGAATGGGGATAGTGGGCATCCTTGACGGACACCACTTGATGAGTATAGCTCCCTGGACAACTCGCTATAGTATGCACTCCAGTCCGAGAATTCAGTCAGTGTCAAATACTTTTTTTGCTTTTTCAGAAATCTTTTCTGATGCTTCAAGCTATAACAAAGACTGAATTAAACGTTTTGCTGACTAAACGTTCTCTTCACAAACAAAGTCATAAAGTGACCTTAAATTACTGAAGTTGTGTTCTAGTGTCCGAGAACTGTAGGTTTTTTACACTATTAAGATCGGAACACATCAATAGATCCTTAATACAAATCTAGTAGTGAATGTAATCCAATTTACTTAGAAAGTGATGAAGGTGAGCCAGTAATGTTGGAATGAAAGATAAAACGAAAACAACATGGAAGTTTAAAGTTTAGTGTCTATAGGAAACCTTCCCATTCGAACCGCTACCTAGACTTCAAATTATCTCATCCCATCTCAGTAAAAGTAGGCTTAGTTAAATATTGAAGTGATAGGGTAAGAAAGCTTACTGGTCGGATAGAAAATTTGAGACAAAAAAGTATGCGTATCAACAATACCTTGGGTCCCAATAACGACCCACCTAAATTTACTAATAGATTCATAAGAAGTCGAAAGAAATGTATGAGGACTAGTGGTAGTACAGGTATTATTAATAACAATTCTACTAGTAATGGTAATGACAACAGAGTTGAGAGGGAGAATTCAAAGCTTCTACTGTGCTACTATACGAAGTCTCTGACTGTTGGTTTAAGCCATGTAGGACGATGCAGACTAGGTGGTTGGGGTCCACGGGACAAGAGGAACCAGTGGTTGGAGACCCTAGGTTATATGGCTCACAACCGAAGTCAGTGACGCAGATGTATACACACATTATCCTCATCTTAACAACGCTATACCGAATCTCACCATTTTGTCACTCCTCTTTCTTTTCTTTTCGTACTTCATATTTCTTTTGACTGCATTCACTTATCTTCATCCTTCACCTCACTACCTTTTTACTTGATGTGCTGATATGAGGTATGGCAACTCGGACCGTTACGCAGTAATGCCTGGTCCTATGTTGATAATGATGATACGAAGAAGGCAACTCAAAAGTGTTACAAAAATTTCATTACAAGGCTGGAATTAGAGCGGCATTTAAACCAACAAACTCGCTTAGAAACAGTCTTTGTAGGTTAAAAGATCCTATTCATCCAATTCGCCAAAGTAATTGAGTTCACCAAATCCCCTCAAATGATTGTCAGGTCAAATAAGTCGACTAGAGTGAACTAGAATAACAGAGCACAAAAACATAGCTAAGTCAACATTAGTGGATTATAACGAGATAAGGAATTCAGAGAAACTCGGCACACAATTGTATACAATCGCACAATAGGGTGGGATAGAACGACAGTACTAAAAACTTGGTTGGGTGGAGAAAGAGATGGATAACCGAATATTTGTTCATCGAATCAACACCAAATACATTCAATGGAAATGATTCTGCACCCGTCCAGAAATATGGAAAATTCTACTACCCTTGTCATCAGAAAGGAGAAAAAATTAGGACTATATTAACTCTGTCTCAAAGTTGTTGAGTTACCTGATATGAATATGAACAATAAATTGTGTCCAACTGGCTAGCTGACTGACAAAACCAGCATAGAACCTTGCACACCGGTGCATCCGCTCAAGTTGTCACACTTCACAGTAGCATATAAAGAAAAGGGGGGGGTAGAAAAAGAGTGATAACAAAGTAGGAACAATTGTGTAAGAGAATAAACAATTTGAAGATGAAGGTTAGTGCAAATAATCAAGCTATAGAAAAAGTCAAGGAGTGAATGCGTCTGTAACACTGTCACCGATTTTCATCCATACCATCAATAGTCCTCAACCACTGATTTCTTTCGTTTAGGAGACCCGAACCAGGTAGTCTTCATTTCCCTACACAACTCAGACACACGGTTAGAGATTTTATCGACTGGTGTCCGAAACATTATTCAGTAAATAACTGTTTTACTGCGTGAAAATTCTAATAAACAGACTACAATCTACTACAGTCGCACAATTTTACTCATATAGCACTGTATTTTGTCAGCTTATTGTTAATATATGCATTGATTACAAACATGCCAGTAAATACTGCATTCAACAACATGTAACGGTTATATCCGAATAATATGTAACGATCTAAAATGGATATGAGAATCTGGAAACAATAAAGAGTACACACATTCTTTGCAGTAACATAATGTCTACCAAGGTCATAAACTTTATAAGAACATTCTGACCAGGTATGTAACTAACCAGTAAACTACATTTAATGTGACAACCGAAATTTTGGAATCTTGGACCATGCGAGTATGCTTTTTTCCTGAGATATGCATACAGAATCTATTCACTCGACCTCACCCGGTCAATGTGGTGAATCTGAAAAATTCACTAGATGATTATCAAAAGATTCGATGGCGCCTTTTTCTCATGAGCTCGCCGGTGCAGGTATGACGGTTCTAAAGCAGAAAGTGCATTTCTAAACCAGATAACAGTTGGTGGCGATCAACGCCTTGTCTGGTCGAACTAGTTCATACGAACTAGATGAGAACATGACACTCGTCGATGCCCATTTGTATTCTTCGACTTTGCGACCACCGAGTACAGTACGGACTAAACAAAGGATGAGTTCTGTCACAAGTAATCAATTTTGCTGTAAAACAAAGCAAAACGTCCAGATATGATCATACTAGCAGGTGATTTCATAGCTCAAGTGAAGAAGCTGAGTCAATCAGAAAAGCCTTTTCGAGGTATCTACAGTATTTCATGCCGACTAACCGACGACTCGATTTTGATAAACACCCCAAGCATAAAGAATGATTGTCTCACTAAAAATCCACCAACATCAAATCAATGGTGAATATACAGAGACTAAACTGTTAAAAGCAATCGTTGGAGGATAGTTGTTCTTTTTGAAGTGCCTGTTTGGACTGGGACCACGCGTTAGTGCGAGTACGTTCGCATCTTAATAGACGCGGTAAACATACTCCAGTTAAGCTTCTGGGTGGTCAACTCAAATATGAGAACTTCTAGTGTCTTCAGAGATGAGGAAGTTAAACATTTATCTGAACATGACATCATTTCTCTTTCCGATGAATTGAGGCAGGATACCCAAACTGCCGTAAAAGTAGCAGTAGAGACAGTTAGTAACCTACATTCAAAGGTTAACGAAAGCTAGTGAATTTCCCAAACACTATTTAGACTAATCAATGTGAGAAGACTGATTTCGGTCAACTTTACCTAGAACGAAATGCGAAAGCAACTTAAACGATAACTGACTAACAGTTTTCGAAATAAACCGCAAGTAGTGGTGTGTGGCGAAAGTGTAAGAGATAGAGAATTCGTCAGCCTTACACAATATTCAGCAATGAATTGTGGTCGAAGTGTCATTTAGTAAATAATGCTGTTTTACTGTGTGCTACATCAAATAAATACATATAATATGGAATTATACACTCTACCAAATGCCAGATACTCAAATACCCTACTTTTGTTAGTCTCCTTAATCCTTCTTCTTCTTATAAAGGGTATCTGTTGATTAACTCTGAGTACTTACTAGTAAATAAAGTGCAGTAGCAGCCTTCAATCGGAACTGATGACTAAGCAGTATGAAATTGGGTACCTTTCCAGCAAATGACCAGTGTCAGATTTAGATCTAAAGGGAACCAGTTATCGCAAGAACGGACCAGTGATAACGCACATTCGTGGTAGTAGAGGAAAGAAATAAACCTTGCTGAGGCGTGAATAAGCACCTAGGTTGTCTACGCGCTGATAACAACTATTACCACTAAGCATACTACACATTGAAAGAATCTTATCAATATGCTAAACATATCTAGTATAGGAACGTTGAACTATTATGAAGATGGGAACAGTAAGCCTCTACAAACCAATTAAAAAGTAGGAAATCTGCTCACTTTTGGTAACACACTTTGGGGTATTCTTGCAACGTTATACACACAGAGGCTAATTGTTCAGCAATTTGATCAATTCGACCAAGTTTGTCATGAACAATATCCGATGGTAGGGAGTAAAGTTGAGCTGTCTCCATTGAATCTAGTGTGTAAAGATGAGATTCAATAGGAATGAAGTCTAGGGATAACTGCTTCAATGTCTTAAAATATCGGATTGACTGTGATGAAGCTATCTGCTTCAGAAGATCACTGGAACAGGCTGAAAGTGATGAATTAAAAGAGGTAAGCTAAGCATATCATATAAAAGGTTGCGTTATTACAGCAATACATGCAAATAAGAGGTTGAGGCTTATTGGCTGAAGTTGACTTTCAACTAACGGATCATGAGTTCCAACTTCCCTCTACCTACCAAGCTTTGGTTAGCTAGGTAGTATCACTAGGCCTCACATAATAGGTGTAGAGATTCATTGCCTACTGGACGAATGGGGACCAGGTTGCTGAGTGGATTTCGATACAGAAATAAAAATGGATTTTGGCAGTCTTTCTATCCCCTGCTAACAGCCTTAACACAATCTACAGCCGCGTAAGGAGATAAAAAAGAATGCAAACTATCACAGTAGATTAACTTGAGCTGTAACACGTGAAACAGAAGCAAGACAAATGGGTAACAACCGTGGAGGCACTGATGGTAGCGATGATGACCATAGTGGTCAACTTTAAATAAGGAACAGAAAAGGTTGATGCTTTTTATATTTTTTGATCAGAAAACAAGAGCATTACTGAAAATAGACATCAAAATACAGACTACATTAAAAGTGAAAATATAAAAAATGCTAATGACATAATATTGAAGGTTGGAGAGCAGGGTACTATTGTAAAGAGACTACTGTGGAACGATTGTAGTCTTATCATTTATACATTGATCTTGTTCCTCAGTAGAAATCCAACAGGATTGCTGCTTACACTCTTTTTCAGTCACATTTTCGATAGTATAACTTACAGAATTAAAACCTAGAGTGGAAACAAACCGACAAATGCTGACCCAGAATCTATTTTTCGTCCCACAACGCTGTAATAAAATGACTACCTCTTCGCTTCTTCTGACTAATTACGCTGTCATCAAACAACAGAAAGTGTGGATACATGAGATGATATGATTACTTGAAGAAGAACTACTTTTAATGTGCCCATAAACGCAGGGTCAGTTAAGCGATGTTTCCAGATTCAGACACACCTACCAAACTACCAGTAACCGGGAAAAATTAATCAACATTTCCGGTTCCAATTGGCTAGGTTTTACAAGTATAAACTATAACTCTTAGAGCCAAAAAATTTCACACTCAAAAGTTTTTCATTCAGATGCAAAGTTCGACACAAGTATGCACAATTTTGTGATGCCACACTTTAAACCATACTAAGGTAGGACAATAATTGTGGATGATGACAATGAAACGACGAAAGCTAAACAAAAAAGTGTCTGGAGGGAACAATTAGAGTTAAAAACAAAACATAATATGTTCAATAGCTAGAAGTCAAGGCAAGAGTATACCTGAGCTACCTTTCTAGTTTACGTAATCACTTAGTATTCAACCGTCAATCTCACAGGAAATCAGACTCATAATTATTAATTTCAAGAAACTCTTTTTAATTGGCCATAAGCTATTCTTCATTCTTTGCTATTCAAGGATTAGTTTCATAGACATCTGCAGAAATGAACGAACACCCGGCTACTTGAACTCTTCCTAAATTTCTGATAACACACCACTAAGACGCAGGATTTCACCCATCTTTTCCGAACAGGTTGTGAAACATGCATCATTCTTGAATAGTTAAATTTAAGTGACTTACACGTTATCATGTAATGATGACACCGTTCATACTTTAGACTTTTAACGGTACTTCTTTGAGAAACGAGTCTACAACACCAAATATTTGACTAAACACCCTCTAGAACTGAGTAAATGACAAATTTCGAAATCAACCTGTTTTGCCTCATTCCATTGGTTTTTTTCAAAAAGAAAGGATACATGCAGGTTTCACATCCACATCCTTTGGTAGTGCTGTCATAAACAAGTAAAAGCCACAAACAACTTAGCAATAAAGTTAAATGCTCCTTTTACAAGCCCTGAATACAAGTACAGGAAGTAAGCTGAAGGAGTCAACAGTGGATACAATTAGCAGCAAATCACAGCGATCGATAACAGCTCCACAGCAACATTAACCAGACCTATCTATCATATGGCGTATCTCAACATGACTGTGAGGCTGCAAAGCTTTGAGTAGTAAATGAATAACTGAGTTACGTTCCACACTGAAGCCATATGAATCAATCTAGTTGGTAACTGAGAAGTAAGGTAAAGTACGGAATAACAGTAGCATAAATGAAAGTTTATACTATTAAATGACATTGATAAAGTCGTGGATATTGAAACTGCAAATAATGTCATTTAGAACGTTCTGACATTTTCACCTTTTCCCTAAGGTCTGTGAATTCGCCCCAACATCCAAACGAAAGAAAGTTCCTTTAAAGAGAAATACACATCAAATACAGAACTTAATTTACTGATCCCATAATAATTGGCTCATCATATGTTACAAAGTGAAAAAGGATTAACTACTGGATAACTTTTCAGACAGTTTACTGTTCATAGTCATATCAAAATAGTTCAACAACTTTGAGATACGGTTAACATAGCTATAATTATCTCTTCTACTTCTTGATACAGATGGTAGAATTTTTCATACGTCTACAACAGGTGCTGTCATTCACATCGAATATAAGCAAACAGACAAATAAACATTAGACCATGCACAGAAATGCTACAGTTGAAGTTAGCACACTTCACAGAAGCAAGCACAGAACACATGCATAGAAACAGAGTGATATAAAAGTAAACACAAATGCATGGGAGGAAAAAGAATTTAAAAAATGGTCATTGAAAATCTTCAATCTTTTGATGACGAAGAGTTAAAAAATATGCAAAATTGTGGCAGAATTTCAACTACGTCACGAAGTCTCTGATGGAGATGTGATCTCTTGGTTTAAGCACTTGACTCTCAACCGCTCCAACTACCGAGGTTTGGGCAACCAGTTAGTATCATTACCCCCTACACAGTAGGTGTGGCCTATTACCAACTGCATGAAAGTGCACAAGGTTGCCGAGTATGGTGTTGTGCTGCTGTTACCAACCAATCTATATCCCTCTTCATCGCGCAGACTAACTAGTCAAAGATTTCATGGACAGATGCCATGTTTTAGTCTGGCCACCTCTAGCACTCTTTCAGAGTGAATCTACTTCAGCCAGCATTCAATAATGAGATAGTTATTAGGCATGGATACAACAAGTATTGGCCATTTGAGTCGACGAAGATTCACAACCTCATTAAGTGAACTGTTCCTTATGCCTTAAACTCTGCACCTGATTTCTACGCAACTGAAGTGGCAGGACTTCAACACACGACCTGTGTTACGAAGGCAACTGTCATAGTGTGTAAAGATTCATTACAAATATAATTGTGTTAGATACATTCACAAAACAATTCAGGCAGGAAAAGGTGACACATATCACGATCAGCTCGTGGTTTATCGTTGCAGACTTAGTTACCGAAGTGTGCAGAGAATTACCACCAGATTAGATAATGCTGAACCTGATATTATTTCAAAAGTTGCTTGTGATGCCAACAGTTGTTAGGTAGCAGTATCTCAATGACTAGGATTGTAAGCATTTTAGGTGATCAGTTTATAAAACCTTAATAAGGGACGGAATATTTTAATTCTGCTATAATTTTGTACATCGAGACATTTAAGAATTTCACAATCTAGGCTTAAAAATCTATCCCTTGACTTACCCGAAAGGAAAACTACGTGGGCGTTTGTGTATGTTGCGCCAGAAGATGTAAAATCTTGCAGCAGCAACTCTACCTCCTTCAGGAAAATAAGGAGTTTTACTGACTTACCGCTCTTCGAGGTTTCATGATGTATACTGCTGGCATGTTAAGCTTCTGTCTTTTCCGTTTAAGAGACTCCACAACTAAACATTTAACGTAAACTTATGAAAATAACATTCACCTACGAGTTACACCATATTCAGTTAAATCCTGCATCTTAAAACATGATGACAACACTTTTGTGGCCGCATCATCCATAACCAGAACTTTCCATCCTGGAACTTTGTTAAGGCTTTCAAATATATGTTTCCGAAAAGCTGCAGGAATAAGACTAGAGATGACAAACTTACAGATCCCCACTTCCTGAATCAACGACATTAGGCACTGAAGCGTTACGCATTAAACTTCCGCTATGAAATCAAATGGTTCAAATGGTTGTTGATAGAATAGGAGAATCTTTCGCCTAACCAGCTTCCACTTCTACCATCCATGGATCGTTACTCCTTATGGTTGTTAATCTGTGTAAAAAAAAGATGAAACAGTGGCGGATGAAATGTGAAAATTCAATTACTTCTGGGCAGATCCCAGCCACATGTTCAGTAATATTATTATTGTTTGTCCCTTGGGTTCCTAATGGAACATAGGGATTCAGCAGCATGTCTCCAGTGCACTCTGTTCTCTGCAAACCTTCGAACCTGGCTCCACGACAGCACACAAGCTCTCACTTCTTCCTCGCACTGTCTCCTCCATGTCACCCTCGGCACCCACGCCCAACTCGTCGTTTCCCGTCTGGGTTCCACTAGAGTGCTTGGCCTGGCGTGTGATGCCCCCAGTCGACCTTCTCAGTGTATTCCCGGTCCATCTCCACTTCCTTCTGCATATTTGTTGAGCGAAAGGTTCTTGGTCCGTTCGTTGCCTGCCAGCCGGAGTTCCTTGTTGGTCATTCTTTCTGGCCATACGAGCATCAGTGACGAACCAACGTAGGCAGTTGTTCATGAATATCTGTTGTTTGTCAGAAATCCTCTTCGTAACGTCCCAAGTCTCTGAGCCACACAGAAGCACTGGCTTGACGTTGGTGTTGAAAATCGGAATCTTGCTTCACATGCTGAGTGCAGAAGTTCTCCACACTGGTTTCAGGTTAATGAACGCCTGTCTTCCTGTCTCTCCGATCCTGGCTTTGACGTCGACGTCTGTGCAGCCGCCTGTAGTTGAAACAGTGCTGCCTAGATTGGTGAAAGAGGTTACTTCCTTTAAGTTTCTCCCATCGATGGTGATTGGAGTTTGTTGTTGTTGTTGTTGGAGTTGTTGGTGCGGTATCTTCATCACCTCTGTCTTCTCTACATCCACTTGAAGTCACGTCTTCGCTGCCCTGTCTCGCCTCTTCTGTCAACTTGTTGGTTTTCGCCTGTAGATCTTCGAGTTTGTGCGACATCAGAAATAAGCCATCGGCGAAATCCAAATCTCCTAAGATCGTTTCCGCTGTCCAGCGTATCCCCCTCTTCTCGCTTCTCACTGTTTGTTGCATGATCTAGTTTGGGTCGACCTGAATCAGGAATATCATGGGTGATAGTAGATGGCAGCTTTATCTTACTCCTGTCTTCACTTCAAAGGCATCACTGAGCTTTCCACTGTGAATTACTTGACATGTGGCGTCTTCATATAGTTGCTGAATGAGATTGATAAAGGTTTGTTGTATTCCGTAGTGTTGAAGCCACTGCCTGCCAAATAACTTCTCGGTCGACGCTGTCGAAGGCCTTTTCAAAATCGATGAAGCTGAGGTTGAGGTAGAGAGTTGACTGCTATTCATTCTATACTCTGTTCTACGATGATGCGAAGCGTTGCAATTTGCTCCGCACACGATTTGTACTTCCTGAATCCTTTCAGCCTGTTTCGGTCGTAGTTTTGAATCCGATGCATCCTTTAGTCTCTCCAGGATGATGTGGCTTAATATTTTGCTTGGGGTGGACAACAGCATGACTTCACTCCAGTTCTTGCAATGACTTAGGTCACCCTTCTTTGGGAGTTTAACAAGGTAGCCCTTCTTCCAATCAACCGGCATGTACCTTCCGTTCCTTCCAGACCTTCTGCAATAGTGGTGTGCGCGTTTTGGCTGTTGTCTCTGTTTCTGTATTCAGTGCTTCAGGCGGGATTCTATCTGGTCCTGCTACTTTGCTGCATTTCGGTAGCTTTGCGGTGCTCAGGACTTCGACTTTTGTTGGAGGGTTTGTGTTCGTTTCCTTTGTTTCTCTTTTTTGGTAATTGGATTCCCTTCATCATCTTTTATTGGTTTCATCTGTGTTGATCCCTTCCTTCCCAGACAGTAAGTAATCTGGTTATTTGATACAATGTTGTCAGGTCTCTGTCTCTCCTACCTGCAGCCTGTTCTGCTTCAGTGTTTTGCCAGTGTGTCGTAGAGTGTCAAAGAGTTCCAGTGCTGATCCACACAGGATCTTCAGGGATGTTCCTCGATATCTCCCATTTTGTCTTGATAGCTGACGTGAAGATTTTCTTTGTGGTTTCGTCCCTCAGTTTTCAGGTGTTGAACATGAACTATGGTCTATCACCAACTTCCTTGAAGGCTTTCAACTTGATTCTGAAGGTTCCTTGCACCAGACAGTGAGTGGCCTGAGCCTACATCTGCTCCTCTTCTTGACCTCGTGTCAAGTAGGCTGCGTCCCCACTTTCTTCAGATTGAGATCTGGTGAAGTCCGTGTGGCTTTGTGGATATCCTTGTGCTTTAACACAGGGCCTCCAAACACCAAATGGTTGAATGCACAGAATCCTGCAAATAACTGTCCGTTCTCGTTCATTTCACCGAACGCTTCTCGACCCATGGTTAGTTTTCTTACTGTGTTGTTCGCTTCCAGTTTGGCATTCGTGTCACCCCACCCGTCAGAACTTCGACGTCACCAAATGAGATCCTGTCCATTGCTGATTGCAGTTGTCTGTGAAATTCCTACTTTTTCTCTTGCTGTGCATTATTTGTGGGTGCACAGCATTGTGCGGTCGTGATTTTCCTTCTTTTTGAGTTGAACCTTCCTGTTATGGTCCTGCGGGAGGAGATTGGTTCCCACTGTATAAGAGCCTTCAATGCTCTTGGGGACATCATGATAGCCACTCCACAACTCAATGTACCCGTGTTTGTCGTCTGGGTGACAATATCGGAGCAGATTATTGATTATCCAGTTGACAGTTTGGAGAGTCCACTCCCATTCCACCTGCTTTCACAGACACCCAACACTTCAGTGCGATACCTTATCATTTCCTTTGCAATCTGGGTAGCCTTGCTGGGTTCGAACATGGTGCGGACATCCCATGTCCTTACGTTTACTTTTGCTTCCATCGTGAGAAGACACATCAGCCAATTGGCTCCCTGAAGGCTTTCACCAACTGGCGTCATTTCGCCTCTCTGATTCCAGCGAGGAACAATATTGTTTTTATTTTTTATATTTTGTTTGTGCCTTGAAGTTTGTTTAGCGGTTGAATTGGTTTTCCGGGGTGGGGTTGCTAGCCGTATGCCCAACCTTGCCCCTTAATTTGGGCGTAGGACCGGCTAGTAACAAGTGAACTAGTTAACCACACGAGGTTCACATGTTGAGTAGGTATGCAGATTCAGATTCGTATTTGATGTTTGAGGATAGGAAGCTGGGAGCCCATTTTGATCCTTTTCCAGCAGAATTCCGTGTTTGTCCAATCCCTTTTTGAGGGGGTCGGTTCATTATGCGGTCACCACTTCTCCTGGTAGCCGGTTCCAGGAGTCGGTTACTCTACGCAAGATTCAGCACTCTGTGGAGACTGTGTTCGTTCTTTGCTTTTGTGGTCTCCTACTATGTCCCCTGAGCTGTTCTGACCTGGTGGGAAGGAAAAGAGAAGATAGATCAGGTCAGAAGTCATTTCTTAGAATCCCGTATAGCGTGATTAGGTCTCCCCTCTGTCTGCAACAGGGCAAAGTGAAGAGGTTCAGCTTCTTAAGTCGGTCTTCATAGTTGAGGCCGGGCATCACGGGGATCATACGAGTGGTTGCCCCCTGAACTCTTTCTAGAAGGTCTCCGTAACCTTTTGGACAAGGATCAACCACCTGTGTACAACTTTCTAATTTAGACCTATCTAAAGATGTGTATAAGATGGCGAACATGTCACCACTTATTTTGGTGAACGCTCTACGTAGTGCTCACAGAGTCTTTAAACTCCGGGCTGCTACCAATCGACGGTGAGCCGTGGTTTTCAAGTCATAACTCGCTGAGACTCCTAGCTTATTGTGGGACAGTACCGATGGTAAAGGAGTCCCATCAATATCGTAGGTGTTGCTACGTATGTGCCCCAAGTGCATGCTCACACATTTACCTCCATTGATGGGCATCAGCCACTTCTCTGACCAAGTAAACAAGCTGTTCAGGTTTGTCTGGAGTGCACGAATATCCCCATCGTTCCCAATTTCTCGTCAAATTTATACATCATCAGCGCAGAGAACCACTGAAAATTTCGTGATATTTGGCAGCTCATTTACGTATAGGGGAAACAGTAGAGGACTGTGCCTTACGGCACTCCACTCGTTACCGACTTCCAAGTAGGGACTTCAGAACTGATCCTAACTCTTTGTCTTCTACCAACAAGAAAGTCTCTTATCCACGCTAGCAGACTACCAGTGATTTCAAAACTTCCCGGCTTTCCGAGCAACCCGGAATAGGGTAGTTTGTCGAACGCCTTACTAAAGTCAATGAAAATGACATCTGCAGGTATCCTATCATCTTTAGACTTAACCCAACTTTCTCTGGCTGTAAGAGGGTTTGTCAAGCAAGAGAAATTTCCGCAAAAAACATGTTGTAAGGGAGACAACAGAGTGTTGTTCCCTAGGTGGACTATGATGGCTTTCTTGATCAGTCTCTCTAGGATTTTCACTACTGTACTATTCAAAGTTATAGGTATGCAACTTGATGGGAGCTGCCTAGAACCCGCCTTGTAGATGCATGTGACTGTGGCGTCCTTCCAGTCATAGGGAAGTGTGCCTTCACTGAGAGACAGTCTGAGTGTAGTATTCAACTAGCCGGCTACACAGAGTACAAGCTCTCTGAGCAGCTATGGGTGCAACTCATCCGGTCCCGCTGATTTTTCCACATAAAGAGTACTTAATGTCCAAAATACATCATCACGGCCGACATTCACAGAGTTTGTTCTGTTGGATGTCAATGGTTCTACTGTTGGATAGCTGTCCACAGAGGATTCCTGTGTGAAGACCTCGACAAAATATCCAGCCATGGCTTCTGCATTTTCTCTATCGTCCTCAATCAAACAGTCATTTTCTATCCCATTGATTAGGGTGGGTATACCACAGGTGTTATTTCTATAGTTCATACAGGAAAACAACCTCTTCGGACGTCGTAATGCAGCCTGGACAGGGAGTGTTTCAAAGCCTA